ACAAAATTATTAAGAAAAAGAGAGAGATGGCAGATCCTGCCGTACTTTTCATGTGTCATGTGTATAAAATCCACACTAGCAGCATGAAGAGAGGCGGTAAAGGAGGAGGAGTGGAGGGAGGCTGGGAACTGATTACAAGGACCTACATATGACCTCCTTCGTGGGGGATGGACAACAGAAAAGAGGGTGAAGGGAGACATTGGACAGTGTTATATGACAAAATAATAATTTATAAATAATCAAGGGTTCACGAGGGAGGGGCGAGGGAGGGGGAAAAATGAGGAGCTAATACCAAGGGCTCAAGTAGAAAGCAAATGTTTTGGGAATGATGAGGGCAACAAATGTACAAATGTGCGTGACATCCAATGAATGGATGTATGGATTGTGATATGAGTTGTACGAGCCCCGAATAAAATGATTTAAAAAAAAAAAAAGGAGGACGGAAGGGGATCTGAACAGTTTGTGATGACCACAGCCTTTGCTTCAGTCCCTCCTTGCTAATGTCACCTTTCAGAAAGCCCACCGCGTGCCATTGTTTTTATCACGTGGTGAGCAGGAGGAGAAAATGAACTGAACACGTGTCCACTTTCTTCCTTGTTCTGTGGACACGGAAGTTGAGGTCATGGTGAGAACGCCTTTCTGCAGGATTTACTCAGGCTTCCTCTGGTCCTGGGATCAGAGGTAGATTTCCATTTGGAGTGGGAATTTGGACATGGGTCTATTCTGATCTGGAAGCTGGCAATCAAGCCGGTGGCTCTGAACTATAAATCTGCTAGTATATATTTTTTAATTCCAAAAGGGAAAAATAAAAGTAGAATAACCTTTTTTGTTGGTTCGTTTCCGATAGCTACATTCCTGAGCGCTAGGGGAAATGCTGTCACGCCCAGAGCACTTGGGACACAAACGCTACCGAGGTATGGAGAGGCCCAGTGAAGCATCGGGCACTCGTTTTTCTGGGACTTGAATTGGCATGTAGTGGTGGGAAGAAATTTGTCAGCCATTCCCAAGGTGAGTGCCAAGATTTGGCTGATGAAGGTTTCCAAGTGAAAGTGTGAGGGAATGAAAACATGGCAGTGACTGTTCTCTAGATGGGTGGGGGGGTGAGGGTGGTGAGGGGGGAGGCCCTGCAGTGGTGACAGGAGGCTGTCCTAAGTTGTCCCCAAGGGCTTCGTTCCTCTCTGAAGCTGTGCCATTACCACGGAAACTTACCAGAGCTCCTTTCAGCTCCCTCAGCGGAGAGCGCAGCTGGTGGACGGTGCAGTCGAAGAGCTGGGGTTCTGCGAGCTGGTCAACCTCTTTGGCTATCTGAGGACAAAGAATGTGATTCTCCGTGATGGAAATAAAGAAATGAAATCGTATTTTCCAAAGAGGTGCACTGAAAAGCAGCACTTGCTGCCCAACCGAAAGTGAGGGCAAGGGGCTTGTGGGGTGGCACTGCCACTCTGCTGTGAGAAGACGGTGGGTCTGTGATGGGGCTGGAAGCGCTGGGTCCCCAGTCAGGCATTTTCAGATCGGGGGTGAGTGGGGGGCGGGTGTGGAGACAATGGAGATGACAGAAGGAGAGCGTGTTCTCCTTG